AAATTGGAATGATGAATCTGGCCTCTATGAATAGATACAAATACATGATCAATCAAAATACCGGACAGTGTTCTCATTCTGAGGAAATGTGCCATTGTGAAGGACAAAAGAAGTGTCTTTGCTTTGACATGACATTTGGCATCTGATGGAAAAGTGAGAGGGGTTTAGTGTCTATGTTGCCTTTGTGCTGCGAAAATGTAGAACCAAGTCAGTGCTAAGAGGGTGGTGCGGAGAAAGTGGCTGCAAAATCTCACCATTTCATCATTTAAATGCCAAATTAAAACCATTATACTGTCTCCATTTTTCCACTAATAATGGACGACACACACAAACTGCCTCCCATCGTCTTGGAAAACTATAACTGTCTGGCAAATGCAGACAGATCCACAGTGACAGTCTCTCCGAATTACAGTCATTTATGCCACCTGACCTTGAAAACCACCAGGACGGACTCATGTTTTTTGAATTTCCATGTCATTCATACAAGCCTCACACTGCCTTTGTCGCTTCTGGCCTTCACACAGCCATCTGAACCGATGTAACATCCAGCACATCACAACATCCCAGCACCACCTCCCTGCAGTGGTTACAGATCAGCAGATCAAGGACAAGGAAACAACTTGTCCCTGATTGACCAAACCCAACCCGCCTGACAGTGAGAGTGTCACTACAGCTCATCAACCATGGAGGGAAAAACCACATGCCTAAAGGTTTCATAGCAGTTGTTGAAAAACTGTGTTATCTCTTACACGCATAGGTCATTGAAACCTGCACTCTTCCATAAGTGGTTGAAAAAGGTCCATATGAGAATAACAGTTTTTGTTTTTGTTAAATAAAAATATACAAACTTAGCTGATAATAATGATTTGAATTTCACACCATTATTTATTGTAATGTTTATTTATCATTTTCATCATCAAGTCATTAAATATTACTCTGTCTCTTTTTTAATGCTACTCAGTTAGCTAAGCTAGCTAAACTAAACTAGTTAAGCTACTAAGCAGCAGTTAGTTATGACAACAGTTGCAGTGCGATGCAGTTCATCTACATCGACAACAATACTGGCCGACAAGCTGATGTTACAAATGCTTAAAAACAGACAATCTACAAATGCTGGGCCATTTTCTTTTTTTCAGTCCTTTGTCTGATTTCCACTTCACTGGATGAAAAATGAAACAATGACTGATTTTTAATAATTTACATCCATGTTTACTGTTTATATATAATATACATATTTGAATACTTAGGAAATGAATCATGATTATTTTGATTATTTTGATCATCTACTCAGTTATGTGGGTTAATCTGATGCTAGATAATGAGTTGTAGTCTGAGTTAAGTCAAAGGTTAAGTAGGACTTTGTACAAGTCCTAATGAGGATCTCAGCATTTTGCCAGGATGGCTCTGTTCACAAATAGGAAGACCAGTGGTGGAGTGTTACAATTGCACAGTGACCTGTAGCACAATGTGTCTCTCAAGCATGAAATTCCCCTCGTGAAGAATGAAGCCCTGAAGGAGTCAGAGGTCAGTGGTCTGGGGTTAATGAAAGGTGAGAGACAGCCGAGCTGTCACAGGTGAAGCACTGACTGAGGTGTGTTAATCTCACTGACTAAACTATTGTTGCTCCCTGCCCGGGCTTTGACCCTGCTTATAGGAGCCTAAGAGATTCCAGCTTGTTTCAATGGCTGCCAAGGTTAACAGCAAGGAGACCGTCTCCCAGCTCTGTTTACTGTCCAGCATCCACATTTTTTAAATTGAATTGTTTCACCTATTACTGTAGTTGTCAATATGAATTATATTTTGGGTATGAATACCTTTTTAATGTAACTATTACTACTCAACGTACCGTACAGACGATTGTCTTTAAAACTCTACATAATTTCCCTTTTTTACAGCAGACACTTTAAATCATCATAGCAACAAAGGCATGTGAAAAGATGTCAAATTGGGACCCACCACTACAGGCCACGCCAACCCTGAAAATATAAGACTGTGTAGACATGTATACATAATGTAGTGAATAATGCTGCATACAGTGCAATTCATTATTTGACACAAGACTGATTCTCTCCTTTGCTGGCTTTCCACATTTGTTTTACATCGTATAACACAACATATTAATCCACTAACCGATGCCACAATTAATAACCATCACAAATATTAGTTAGTATATTATGTTGTTGTTTGATTTTTCCATACACCTGTGAGTTGCCCTTTCTTTGTCATTGCCTCAAAGCAGGAGTGACACTCCTTGACCTGCACGCTCACTGAGGCTCTACCCAAACCACAGCAGGAAACATCCACCAGAGGATGTGCAACAGGCTGCAGTGTAGGTTTACTTTTAGATCACAACCATTAATCTCATTAACATAATGAGTTTACACCAAACTCATTTACTCTGAATGGCAAGAATAGTAGTACATATTCCTAGAAGACTGTAATGTATCCTACACAGACCTGTCACACTTCTACTGCATCTGTCCTGATATGACACACTTGGTGGATTTAACAGATAACCATATGGTGCCACTGGTTGGTTAGATGGGGTAAAGAGCTTAGTGAGGAACTGCGTTCAAAGAGTAAAAAATGCTGCAGATCTCTGAGCAGCGAGCCAGCGATGCCTCCCACTGAGCTGTAAACAGTCACATCCTGGTGGTTTTGCACACACAGCAGGTCTCTCCTGGCCAAACTCTCCTGCACTTTGTCTCCATTTAGCTCACTTTCAGCTCCCCACTGGTGATAAGTCTTAAAGGGCACCAGATTACCAAAAACAGGGGGGATTTATCATCTTTAAACTCCCAAGTCTGTGATTCATGTTAACTGGACTTTTCACAGGATAGAACAGGGAGGGGAGAGTTCAGTGAATTAAAGTCTGAAGGAATGAATCATCCCCATCCAGTGAGATAAATACTTTAGCCTTGACCTTCCACTGTTGATTGGTCTTGGACGTCAGCCTTGTGTTTTGTTTGCAGGCAGAGTAAAGCTTGTTTTGTGTGTGTGAGCAGTCGCTGCATGACTGCAGCGCTGGCCGTCTGGAAGAACGTGACAGCACACTCGGCCTCAGGACTCATGGAGCATGAGTCAACAGTGAAGTGGCCAGGCAGACATGTTCGCATGGCAATGACTTGCTATCACAGGCCTCCATGAACATTAAGATCATTCAGTCACAGAAATACAGGGATTAGTCTTAACGACACTGGTGCAGAAACATATCAAGAGATAACAGGAGTATGTAGAGACACAGATGGCACAGGGACTACAGGACAACACTGTTCATGTATCATCATACATACATTGTGATACGCAGTAGGTTGCAGCTGTAGGTTGGTGCTGTAGTGTCATATTGTGTGTGTCATAAAACAACATACTATTGGTACTATATATGATACTATATGACACAACTATATGATATAAGTTGTGCTGATTATGATCAATGCAACTAGTGGAACTAATACACCCACATTAAATCTTACCACCAAGTTAGGAAAACAATAATGTGAGTCCTGTATCAGTCCACTGCAAACATGACCTTTGTGACATAGTATAGGTGAAGTAAGTGAGGGTAGACTAATGATTACAATTCTTATTGATCTAACATATTGATCTGAAATTACATGTGGCAATGCAAAACACCAATGATTTTAGCTATTTATGTTTTACATGGGAATCTATGTTTTTGGTGATTGCTTTTTTGGGATTTTTTAAACTATGATAGGCACAGGTATTAAAAAATAACAGTAACACAATATACTATAAGTATTCTCACTTTGTAATTAAGTAGAGGTAACATGAAAACCATTTTAATTGAAATTACTTTTACACCTACACTTTAAATGCTAATTGAAAAAGGAGACTATGATCAGATTAGATCCTTATAATCAAAAAAGCATATCAAGGAGAATAAAGGAAAAACAATGATTCTCTCTCTCTTATTCTCTCTAACTGGCTGGTCGTTTATTGTTCAGTGACTTCACGTTTGTTCATTGTTATGATGCACCAGTTTCTTAAAAAAATGATTATGTAAACCCCATGAAAAAAATAGAGGTCCCATTTGAAAAACAAATTACACAAATAGAATCACAGTCAGGGTTGATTTAGGGTTCACTTACTGCAGCAGAGATGGGAGGGGGAAATGAATTAAATACAACCTACTGTTAACATATGTGTGATAAACACTTTAAATAACATTTTATATGCTAAATTTTAGAAATGTATCTCCTCAAGCCATGTGAGTCAAGTGCACATAAGGTAATTCTCTGTGTAATGAAATGATGTCACTAGGTGGCATCAAATTACTGCAGTTAGGATCTGCTGCTCCTGTGTCTGTTATATGCCTCATATGAGACTAATAAAGTGTGAGCTTAAGTGTATCAACTCCTTATATTTGAGAGTAGACGGTATATGACAGATGTGTGATGGAATAACAACACACAGACGCACACACACACACACACACACACACACACACACACACACACACACACACACACGCTCAAAAGATCACGGGGATGATAAGCGCTGCTGCTCCCAGACCAGCTTCTCCTGGCGTCAACCCCGCCTCAAACACTGACGTCACCCAGTCACAGCCGTGACGTGGGACGCACCACTCTCCTCCTCCGTCCCGAGCAAAGCATCGCCAAAATCCCCATCCACCCCTCTCTCTCTCTCTCTCTCTCTCTCTCTCTCTCTCTCTCTCTCCCCCCCCCTCTCTCTCTCTTTCGTTGTCTTTTTAATGTAACTTCTGACTGATCGGGAGAGCAGGGAGCGTCTGGAAAGCCTGGTCCGGCGACTCCATCACTGATGAGGGATCTGCTCGCACGGTATTCTCTTTAAAGCTGGACACACCGGACAGAGAGGATCAGATTACATATTTTTTGGGATAACGTTGCTTCCCCTTGTGGATTTTGGCTGAGAATTGTCTGCCTTTATGTTTCCCTCTGTGGATGTTATAGCGCATATCTCGGTCTGAATGACGCTTTCTTTTTGGATTTCCCCCGCGCCAAGCTGTTTCTGGGTGACTGCCCATTCTTTACTTGTGAAGTCGCGCGTTATAATTTTATTGCCGTTATCTTATGAGGTCTGTTCATATTCTGAGGCGTAGCTTGTATTTATTTTTTTCCTTGAATGTGTTTTAGTGGTTCATGTCGACAGATCGCGTGCGTTAATTATTGCGTAAAAAGAGGGAAGTTGGGCGCAGAAAGTTTTGGTGACGGTCGATATGGCGATGGTGGCGTGGAGAAACACTGAGGGCGTCGGGGACACTCAGGGGACCCTCTCCTCCCCGGTGTCCCAGGTTGCACCTCTGTCTCTGCCCGGGGAGCTGACGGGACACATGAACCCGGCGTCTCTGGAAATACCCCCGGCAGCAGCAGCACCCCAGGGCGCACCACCGCCCAATCCGTCCAGCACCACCACCGCTACCACCACCACCAACATTAACAACAACACCTCCTCTTCCTCCTCCTCCTCCTCGTCCATGGACAAACAGCAGAGCCAACAGATCGAGTGCATCGTGTGCGGGGATAAATCCAGCGGGAAGCACTACGGACAGTTCACATGTGAGGGATGTAAAAGCTTCTTTAAACGCAGCGTCAGGAGGAACCTGACCTACACCTGCAGGGCCAACAGGAACTGTCCCGTAGACCAGCACCACCGCAACCAGTGCCAGTACTGTCGCCTCAAGAAATGCCTCAAAGTCGGCATGAGGAGGGAAGGTACGCGCTGGCATCCTCCTGTTGTTGCTATCGGTATTATCAAATCATATTATCCAGCACCACACGGTCCAGGAAACTGATCACTTTCACACAATGCTCTCTATTTATTTTCTTTCAACACATAAACTGATAAAAAAAAATGTGTACAGCCTAGTAATAGTGTGTACATAATTTATCTCTGGACTCATCATGTACCTGGATGTTTTCTTTGTCTAGTCCGTGATATTGTAGATATGTTCTCCGCCTATTAATATTTCTGTTACAAAGCCTTGCTACACATTAGGCCTGTTATTATCATATTTGTCTGGGATGCTAGTCTCTGTACTATCAGTACTACAGCCTACAGTCTGGCCTGTGATATTACAGAGATTAGTGTGTTCCAGCTAGCATCCTGTAGCATGTTTGGTGTCTGTATTATTGTTGCTATTCGCCCGTTGTCTGTCCGTCATCACGGCCATTGTGTGGCTCCAACAGCCTGAAGCTGCTTTAAATGCCACATGTTCATATTCGACAGCGGCGCTGCTGCATTTTACTTTAATTTCGATGTGTTTTTCGTTTAAATTGTTGCCTTCAAGTGCAGGTTGTTTTTAGTAGATAATGTTTGCGCATGTGGACTGTGTGTGTGTGTGTGTGTGTGTGTGTGTGTGTGTGTGTGTGTGTGTGTGTGTGTGTGTGTTTATGTCTGAGTGCGTATTCATTATGCATGCTGGTCGTACAGGCCCTAAGCAGCCTACTGCAGCCTACTATTAGCCTACAGCTTCAAAAGGAGCCCAGTGACATTTGAGAGTTAGAAGAAGAGTTTCGTTATAAATCCCAATAAACTTTTATCCAGATTTCACCTCCAAAAAATAAGTATCGGGTTGAAACTTGGTTGTGAGTGAGCCCAGTCCTGAGTGACAGGTACACACAAAGAAACATGATGGATTTTTTGACGGACCACCGGGACAAATCCCGATGGGCCAGTCAGACAATCACACTGAAACATCTCCTCCGCCATTATCTGCAGGTCCCGGCCTACAAACAAATATCCGAGCTAAATGTGGCATTTTTTTTTCCAGGGACCGTCTTAAAGTTCTGATGCACAAATGCACATGCTACATGTTCTATTCTTTTAATTAACATCTCTGATGTTTTAAATATGTCTCCTGCATTTAACAGTTTTTCTATAAATGCAAATGTGTTGTTTTAATCGCCCGTAGCCCGATTTGACATTTGTGCTGTTGCTCGTTGCAGCTGTCCAAAGAGGCAGGATTCCGACGCAGGCTTATCACGGCCAGTTTGCTCTGACAAACGGAGACCCTCTACAGTGTCACTCCTATCTATCGGGATACATCTCTCTGCTGCTGCGGGCCGAGCCCTACCCGACCTCCAGGTTCGGCTCTCAGTGCCTGCAGAGCAACAACATCATGGGCATAGAGAACATCTGTGAGCTGGCGGCCCGGATGCTCTTCAGCGCCGTGGAGTGGGCCCGCAACATTCCTTTCTTCCCGGACCTGCAGGTACCGGACCAGGTGGCCCTGCTCCGCCTCACCTGGAGCGAACTGTTCGTGCTGAACGCCGCACAGTGCTCCATGCCCGTCCACGTCGCTCCTCTGCTGGCCGCCGCCGGCCTCCACGCCTCCCCGATGTCCGCGGACCGGGTAGTGGCCTTCATGGACCACATCCGGGTCTTCCAGGAGCAGGTGGAGAAGCTCAAGGTTCTGCACGTGGATTCAGCAGAGTACAGCTGCATCAAGGCCATCGTGCTGTTCACCACAGGTAAACTCTCTGTCCCTACATCCAAACATCAGGCCTGGATGGTGGGATGTGTTCAGGAGACAGTGGTGTGATGTGGTAATGATAAACAATCAACCACCAGTATGAACAAAATAATAATCTTCAAAAAGAAAATAGAAAGAAAGAAAGAGAGAGAGAGAGAGAGAGAGAGAGAGAGAGAGAGAGAGAGAGAGAGAGAAAAGAAAAATGAAAGCTACAAAAAGCCATCATATCACTTTATAGGTGCATCGGGTATACAGAGAAAAATACAGTGTAGGCCCGGGGCACTATGGCCAAACTGTCTGTTTAGAAAAACGTTACTTACCATCGTATTGTAACAAAACGACCATCAGTTAAATAAAATATATTTTTAGAAAAATAATATTTTGATGATGATGATGATCTGAACTTTGAGCTTTGGTGTAGTGGGAAATAAGAAGGAGGTGAAAACCCCTAAAAATACCTTTAAAGAAATGTGTCATTTTCCCAGTTCCTCGTGTTTCAGAAGAAAAGGAAAATTAAATAAACCACCTATACTTTTCTGTTAAAATACTGCTTTTGGATAAAGGTAAGAGTTTGCTCAGGGTTTTCCTCAGTGCTAAATAAATAAATAAATAGGATAAAATATATCAATAAATATAGTAAAAAACAAACATATTAAATGTTAAAGAATTAAAACATTTATTTTCCTACAAAATTAAAAGTCCAGGTCATTAAATAGAAAAAAAAAGAATAAAATAAAATATAAGAAATCAAAGAAAAGACAATAAAAGGTCTTCATATAACTCATAGAATTTCTTTACTACTGACTAAGTCCTACAGTGAACTTAAATGACCTCAGTTTGTCAGCCTTTACAGCAGCAGAGTAAAATTTGTCAGTGTTATAAAGTGTATTTTTACTAAAGCATTTAAGAAGCTGTGAATCAGGTTGGGTGGGTTTACAAACTGCATCAAATCCCTGCAGCCCCTGAAATAAAAACACTTTGCATGATTCATCCAGTATGCAAATGAAAACAGGGCTGAGCATTTAACTTCTGACAGCATCTAATATTTTATTCCACTGCTGACGCGTCTTTTATGTTAAAACAACAAAGCACTTTATCAAATGCAATGTTTTATCCAATTGAGACATTTGTAATCTTTATTTTAAGCCCCAAATAGAAAGCAACTAAATAAACTTGTAATTTGTCAGCTTTAAATTTTGCATTTATATATCAAATAGTGAACAGAAATAATTAAATTTGATTTACGTAATAAGTAATTCTCCCACAAATTACCTTTATGACTGTCATTACTGGCAATGCATGCTAGTTATTTCACAGCCTTTTAATACAGTCAGAGTGTTTGATGGCTGAATCCAAAGGACGAGCAGCAGAAGAGTAAAAAATAAAAAAGGTTTCCTATGTAGGTCTATTTCAGTCCCCACGAGCACATCTGAACACGTGTCTTTAAACTGGGACACAGTAACCGTTCTTTAACCCCTGCTGCCATCCGGCCTGTAGCACTACAGGGCAAACACAGGGGTCTGCTGTGTGTAGAAATACTACACATACAGTATATGATATCTCGTATACAGTAAGACCTTATACAGTCAATGCTCTGGCTGTCCTATTGATTGTTTTTTTGTTTTTTGTTTTTTTTTTTGATGGGGGCAGCAGCACCATCTTTGATCCCTGATGGCAATAGATTGATGGGGTATCACTTTATCTCAATGACAGGCCAAGTGCATGCTGTTGTTTTTCTTCATGCTGTTGTGTTTTCACCACAGCTATTTAGAGATTTGACTTATTTCTTACGTTTGGACACTCTTGCACATGTATTGTATATTATTACCTGACCACGTCTCACTGAGTGATTTAATCCCCGTTAAATATTATACACAGGGTTTGTTACAGTATGTAGCCACTTTCCTGTTCTGTTACTATCTCGCTGCGATTCATTTACATCTGCTTACAATAAGATAATGAACTGCCTGAACGCAGCCACAAATGCTCAGTAGTCTGCAGTCCTGACCAGTCCTGTAATGTCTTGATCAGAGACGTAGTAAATAAATAGTATCGAGTGGAAAACAACAGGAGCAAAACCATACTGTGAACATAGAACAGATTTTTGTTTCTGGCGGTTTTTTGCCTTGTGATATAGTTTCATGAGACGCTACCTCACCCACTGATTGTGCTCTGCTTTTCCGGTGCTGCTGTGCGCTGTAGCTGCTCTTTAGCGAAATGCCTATGAAATTAAACTGCACAGATTTTTGCTGGCGATGCTTTCGATGCCTGAACCACTGGTCTTGACAACTTCTTCTCCTGCCTCTTGTTTGTCTCGCTGTCGTTCTTTCTGTCCGTAGATGCTTGTGGTCTGTCGGATGTGGCCCATGTGGATGGTCTGCAGGAGAAATCCCAGTGTGCTTTAGAGGAGTATGTGAGGAGCCAGTATCCCAACCAGCCTAACAGGTTTGGGAAGCTGCTGCTCCGCTTGCCTTCTCTCCGCACCGTCTCTTCCTCTGTCATAGAGCAGCTTTTCTTCGTCCGTCTGGTGGGGAAAACCCCCATAGAAACTCTGATAAGGGACATGCTGCTGTCGGGCAGCAGCTTCAACTGGCCTTACATGCCTATTCAGTAGAGGAGGAAACTGCAGTGGTGCTGCTAAGGTCAGGAAAGGTCTCACACCTCAAACAAAGTCATTTTAGCTACTGAGGCTTAAAATCTGTGTCGCTTCGAACAAGGGAAAAAAACTTCCGGTGGAACGGGATCATTACTGAAATTTTCCAATTAAAAATGTATTGAGTTTTGCCATTTTCTTGAAACCAGAGCAGTGATCTGCCTTATTCTGCATTAAATAAATCAATCGTTGTGATGACAAGGAACAATATGACTCCACTGGCAGATTTTTTTTACTTGTTCAAAGAGAACAATATTTCATGAGATGAAATGACTGGTCATGATGGACATTTTTACTGCGTGATGACCACTCACATTCTATGGTTTTTGGGATAACAAACAATATTTATTGGACCCTGTGTGTATATTTATCGTGCTTGTAAATTATGTTTTGGCTCCTTTTTTTTAAAAAAAAAAATGTTTTATGTATTTTTGCCCCAGCCAGTGAGAAAACTGCAGGGATCGTCTTGTGTTGATCTGTTTTTTTTTTTTCCTTTTGTTTGTTTGTTTCATACCTTCCAGACATGGCACTTTGGACTAAAGGAACATTTCATATAAAGATTTCACACAAGTGTTTAAAACCCAGCATTTCTGACTTCAACCTATTTGCTCAGTGGTGTACAAACAGAAAGAAAGGTGATACTAAAGCTCTGGTTTAGTTACTTTTGGTTCTTACTCCATTTGCAATGTCGACACTGAAAGGATGCGAAGAAAAAGAGCAAAACATACTTGTAAACTGCACTTCTCATAGTCAGTGTAAGGTTACACAAAGTAATTCATTACTTGTTAATCACTGAATAGGTAGTATCATTACTTTATTACATTAATACAGCATGTCCTTAAATATTTTAGTTAATACTTTCTGGCAGATTTTTTCTTGCCACAATGGACCATTTCTACTTTTTTACCCTCTAAAAAACAATATTTAATTTTTTTTCTCCTTTAAATGATCAAATCAGTGAATTTTTGTTATCTCATCCAAACAGAGGTGATGATGAGGCCAAATATGAAAAATAGATAAGGAGAAGGAGGCTGAATGTTGAACAGCCGTAACCTGATATTTTTTAAATTTATAGGAGTTAAAGGAAAGAATTGTTTTCTTTTCACTGATGAAAAGTAATGACATTACTCCACTGATTAATGACTGATGCATTACCACACACTTCTCATTCATTTACATCTCCAGGTCTTTTATACTGACTGTCAGACACTGGGCCTGATGTGTAACCACAGTTTCTTAATGGGATAAATGAACTGTACACAACTTCCCAGGTCAAGTAACAAATCTATTTCATTATAATTCATGCATTTATGAGCCCAGGCCGCTTTAATGGCACAATAGACCACTGCAGGGTATTGCTGAACTGAAAGTGTGTGTATATGCTTGTGTGCGGGCATGCGTCTGTGCGTGTGTGTACGAGTGCGTATTTGTGTTTACTTCTTTTTTGACAACCACTCTGATGTACTGTGAAAGCATATTGGTTAACATATTGGTACCGTATTAAATTATAACTCAAGATTTATAAATAAAGTGTATTTGGTTTATTTTGCCATTTCAATCCTATGTTGTTTATGACTGGCCTCTCTCCCAACAGAACGAAATGTGTGTGTGTGTGTGAGTGAGTGAGTGAGTGAGTGAGTGAGTGAGTGAGCACGAGTTTGTGTACTAAAGCTGAGCAGCACAATGAAAGTCAAGCAGAGCTGTCTGCTGCTCTGGAGCCTGTTTCTGATTGTAATATTGTCATTAATCAGACATTTTAATCAAACTAATTGCTCTCCATTGACAGGCTTTAAGTGTATGTCAGGGTTTGTTTGATTTTCCTTATTTGAAGACCACCTGCAGGAAAACATTTAACTTGTCTTCAGCTGTAATGCTCGATCAGGCAGTGAACTGAAACATATTTAAAAGTTTATAAAAGAACACAAAAGCAGAACAGACTGTCGACTCTGCATGTAGGAGACGTATTTATTTTAATTTTGCCCAGCTGGTGCATGGTTTGGATATTGTAATGGAGTGTGATATATTCTTATTTAAACAATTACTGGACCAAATTAATTCTCTTCATATTAATCTATCACTATTTAAAGTGAAACAAACAAAAATAAAATGTTCTTATGGTGTAGACCATATATAACACCACAAATACAAATGTGATACAGTTCAAAACTGTGAGGTATAAGCAAGCAATGCCAAAATAAAAGCATTAAAGTATACTTTTTTTCCCATAAATCTATTTTCACCCAGGTTAAAGCAGTTTTTACTACTCGTCACTAACTTAACACCTCTGTACAAACGTGTGTTTTTGCTATTAAAAAATCTATTCATTCATTGAGGTGGTTAAACTCTGCATAAGAGAGGAGAGCAGAATGAAAATAGAATTATAATCGTGTCTGTGTTGCCAGATTGAGTGACAGAGGGGATTAAAGCAGCTTCTTTACTTCTTAGCGGACAGCGAGCTAATGAGGGGCCCCTGAGTGCTCTGTCACTACTAGTTTACCCTGAGGAGGATGATGCTGGGCGCTCCACGGCCCCTGTGTGTCCTGAGCCAAAGGTCCAACATAAAACAATGGAGCATTTTCCCACACACGTCCAGGTCCAAAGGAAGAAAATGCCCAGGAGCAGTGGTCTGATGTGGAGGAGGAGAACCGGCTCAGGCTGCGCTGTGTGTGAGCAGGAGAAACACCTGAACTCTGGCTCTGATGGATTTTTCATTTGCTTCTGTATTTACGCCCTTTTCATAAGACTGTTCCGAGCCAGCGGCTCTGCTGTTTGTGTGGAGCTGCGGCTGCATTAGTCATTACGCAGCATGGTTAGGATTTAGCCAATCAGCTTTCAGGAGTGAAAGTATGTAGCCAATGAGATCACTCTGACGATTTAAAAAAAATATATATTTATATTCATCATGTCAAGTGAGGACGGACTGTTCAGCTTAAGAGTCGAAAGCCCACAGGAAGATTTATCATAGTGTTGACAAATGTTTGAGTGTCGCAGCCACGTGACAGGAAATTACATTTATCAGATAAAATTATATAGAAGTATTATCTGATAATGTCTCATACAAATATCCCCCTTTAATTGTTTTTTTTACTGTGTGTGTGTGTGTGTGTGTGTGTGTGTGTGTGTGTGTGTGTGTGTGTGTGTGTGGTTTTGTTTATGATTCAAATCAACCTTTTATGCTAAATTTTATTGACTATGACAACACTAATATTTACTATAAATACAATTCTTAAATATTGTTTTTAGATGTGGAAGCTTCGGAAATAACTGAAAAAATTAAAAGAGTGTTAAAGCCAAGTAACATTATTTCTACCAATTTAGTTAGTTAGTTATAAGAAATAATCGTATATTTCAGGACTGAGCAAAAGATAATATGGTGTAAAACATTACATTAATATCTGTAGTTACTAGCTGCATAAAGTTACCGTAATAATTTTCTATTGTATTGATCTCCCACTGCCTGTGTCCCTTGCAGATGTAATCCAGGAAATAACTGGACATAAGCCACGTGACTTTTTTTTAAAATGCTTTTTTCGCCTTTCTTTTTCTATTTTAGCTTTTACAGCCGAGCTGAAATGAAATCAGTCATTCAACAGCTTAATTGTGAAAATTGCAGTCAAATGTTTATAAATGAAATAGTGTTTAGTCGCTGAGACGTGGCTGCTCTGCTGTAGTTGATCTTTGGACTGGCTTCAATGACATGTTTTAAACCAGTAGTAATCAGTGTTATCCTCTCAAAATGTAATTTCAGCAATCCACACTATCCTTCGACTTACACATATATGATAGTATATCATATATTATTCTTATATGTAGTATATATTATATATATATATATAATATATGTTTAGAAATAATTTTATAGGTAATAAAAATTATACAAATTAGACCTATTTACAAAAGATTTTCAAAGAAAAAGGTTTCGGATTAATGCTTGGATTGAAGAGAAATTGCAAAAGAAAACGACTCAATTCTACTCTCGCGTAGAAAAAAAAGAGCGAAAGAAAGAAAGAAAGAAAGGAAGAAAGAAAGAAAAAAAGACAGAAAGAAGAAAGAAAAGGATCTTTTATCAAGTCGTTTTTTGCACAGCACACAAAGCTCATACTGTTATCTGTAAAGGGAAAAAAGATTTACCGTCGTTAGTAGATCAGGAAAATCCGCCCTGTCCGTTTTCGTGTTCCTGTTTTTATTATTTATTATTATTAGTTTTCTATTTTGAAGCTGTGTGGCTGTTCTGGTTGGGTTGAGTCTGTTCATAAGTCTAACGGGAAACGGAGCTTATATAATAAATAATCACTGGTAATTATTACAGGGAAAGAATCCCGCTCTTGAATAAACGGTTGAGCCGTTGTGATGAGTTGAGAGAAGTTATGGCAGAAACATTTCATTCTTCAAACCTGCTTCATATCTAAAACCTCAGAGCCACCGTAGTTGCGAATAAGAGTTTTACACTAAGGATTTTTTACTACTATTTCATTTGTTAATGGTTTCAATGGATAGGAAAGCTACAACAGTCCGAAATACAACATAAAAACAGCTTCATTCTTTCAGCTTCAAGCTTTCTTTCTTTCTTTCTTTCTTTCTTTTCCTTGCATTTTTTATTTTTTTAAATATTTTTCATAATTATCGTTGTGGGTTTTTTTTTTAATTATTATTTGTGTTTGTCTCAAGTTATTGTGAAAAACAAGTCTGACCAACAAAGCTCCATGTTGGGTATAAATGATTTTAGAAAGTAGTTCTAGTAGTAAAACAACAAGCCAATAAAAAAAATCACAGTGAATATTCCTATAGTGAGTCAGAGTGTGTGAACGCTGGGGCCTAAAGAAAAAAACTTCTTACTTTATGGTATTTATACTGTATATAGTGAATTTAAGTGCACGTCTTTTTACTGTGGCCTACAGTTTTTCATTTTACTGTGCACGATCCCGAATCTTCACTTATTTAGTTATTTGTCTATTTTTTTGTGCTTTTATTGTGAAGAATGTATAAAAGGTTATTAAGCGCCGCAGTTGTGAAGTGAACTTTGTCCGCTTCGGGATCAGTTTTGTTTGATCACGCTTACTGTGCATTTCTCTCAAAAACACATGGAGTCAGATACTCTGGGCTTTTATTTTTTTATAACCGAACGAGTCTCTCGGCGAACAAAACAACCACATTAGATGTTGTATAGGCTATAAGTCGTAAACGTTCACTTGTGCAGCTGCTCGGACGTCCCTGGTTGACTTTGTGCATCTGAACGTGTCATCGTCGTCATATACTATGAGCACTTTGCTTTCTGAAATTAAGCTCCATCTGTGTGGAGGCTGGCATTAACAGGACCTGCAGACTCAAACATCTGAGAACCAATTTCACATTTAGTGCGGAAAGCCTGTCCAAAAGCGAGAATCTGTGGGACACATTTAACATGGAAACCTCATCAGATCAAAGAAAAACCTTCTTTCATCTTTCACAGGTGGAAATACATTGTCTAATGTGTGTGTTTGTCCAGACTTCATTCATCATTTGTTTTTCTATCTAGTCTCTGAATAAGTTGAGGTCAAACTTAAAAACCACAAATCTGTTAAATCATCTTCTTATGTATATAGATGCATTCTATCTATCTATCTATCTATCTATCTATCTATCTATCTATCTATCTATCTATCTATCTATCTATGGGAAAATCTAAGCTGCTGGGAAAAGAGAACAGGCTCTTTCCTTCTTCCTTTATTTCTCTTCCTTGTCCCCAAATTGCCCCTCTAATCCTGTTCTGTGTGTCAGACTGACATCACGCCACTCTGGCTCCCTGCTCTTCAAGCTGACAGTGTGAATCAAGAGGTTCC